GGTGAACTGAACTCCCACTCAAACAGTACTTCAACCTCCCATGCCTTCCAGTTGTTTTAATATCAGCATCTATCCCTTTTATTGAAGTCTCCTTTGAGGAATGCCTAAACTTCCCAAAGAAGAGTTATAATTTGACCTTTATTCTGTGGAGACAGTTCTAAGAGGGTTATTTTGGTACACTTATTTGAGCCCTGTGTTCTGGTGGGACTACTCTGTAGGTCAGCTAGCACAGATTACCTGTTAGACACCCAACTGACTCAAATGCTGTTGCCAAACCCTTATTATCTTACTGCTATACATAATGTCATGGAACAAGTTTCCCCAAGTGCTTTCTAAAATTATAGCCCCTCACTTCTCTTGCTATGTTGAATCATCTCTTACCAAAGCATCTAGCTCTTCCCCACCCAAAGAACCTTCCACCAACAGCACTGTCACTTTTAAACAAAAACTTGAGGTACTCAGTTTAAAGCAGACCTGCCAATTTTACTGCTTCTTGGCCCTTTCTACTGCCTATCAGGAAACTTAACCAGTCTAGTGCTTTTCCAGTGCCTGCTTCAGTAAACAGAAATATAATTGGAGAGCAAATTATAAGTGTGTGTGTGTGTATGTGTGTGTGTCCCAGCCCTCAAATATTTAAGAGAATCAGTGAATGTTTTATCTGTGTTGACTATCCAAGCTAAGATTTGCCTGATGCTCTCCCAAGACCCACTCTTAGTGTAGAACATCCTTGTGCCTACATTTGAGAATTGCCCCACACAAAGCTCATTTAACAAAAACTCAGTGTTAGTGGGAGTTGCATGTAAATAAGAAGACCATAACATCCAGGAAGTGATTGGTTGAGGAGACAGATAATGTATGAAACAAACACCCCTTCCTGCAGATCACACAGACCCCAGGCACAGCCTGCAATCCCACCCAATGCCAGTTGGCTTTCCTCCTATGGCTTGTCCCTACTAGCATCTGTAGAGGCAAAGTCACCAAAAGCAAATCAAGAGTTCCTTTGTTCTCTGGATCTACATCCCTCCGAAGACCCAGACTGGCTTGATCCTTCTCCCCTCTACCTGGGAGTTTTAAAGGATGGCATCCCTTCTAAGCCACAGCACCCAAAATGCAGCCCATGACTTATCTGCAGACTGTGGAGACCTAATGTGCCCATCTCTCTTCCTGTAACTGGGGAGAAAAATCTGAGCGCAGGGTGACTGTTTTTAATTGCTGAAGAACTGGAACAAGCAACAGGCTGTACATGTCTAATGAGGAAGCAACCAGAGCAAGTAAGGTTGCAAAAATATTTTTTTATATGTAAACTGCATGCAAAGTAGGAGTGACTTTCAAGCTCCTGAACTCTTAAGATGACCATGCATGGGCCCCCTCCATTTTGAAAAGCCTGGCATACCTTTCACATTGAGTGTCTGGAGTTGGGCAAGGTCCCCTATAGACTGTGGAAGAGATTTTAGGAGATTCCTTTCAATATTTAGGACCTAGGATATTAAGAGAGAAGAATTTTAGTGATTCAGGATGAAAGTCTTCCTGCCTGTGCTGTGCTAGGAGCATCTACAAGCCTCTGAGGACAGTTTGGAAATAAGTTCAGGCAGCTGTTGTTCAGGCAACAATGCTCTTGGAAAGAGCCACTTCCTAGTCGTTCTATTCCCACTGACTCGCTCTGAAGGGATTTTTCTACTAGCAGTCTCTAACAGCACAGTTCTGCTGAATGACCTGCGGAGCTGCGTGTCACAAACTAGACCCAGTGTGGCCACCCTAAGCAATGGGGATCCCAGTTTACTGGTGAGAGAAGAACAAGGCACTGAATCTACTTACAGCACAGGAAAAATCCCTTTTGTCATTGCACAATGCCCATCTGCCTTCATGCAGAAAAGCAAGCTGGCTAATGAGTAATGTCCTAGCACTGAAGATGCACATGAGGCACAGCCAACAAGCTATAATCAGTTGGGTGTGATGAAGCAGTACCCTTTGTGGAGCTGTTATAGATATATTCAGAAGACCATTATACTGAACTACAGGCTGAGGACAAATTAACCTATAACAGCCCATAGCTGGCTTGGAGTGTTCAGGTGCTTACTGTATTTAATCCAGCAGAACTACCAGTATTTGCCAATGCTGCTGGTTTATTCAAGACTTGGTTTATTCATGCTTTGTCTAGCATCTTATTGTGAATCATATAACAGGCAGAGGGGAACTTCAGATCAGACAGGAACTTCCAAAAGAACTGATCTTTTACCACTAGTTTCCTTAGAGGTGCACCAATACATTGGTCCAATATCGGATCAGCATCGATACAAAGACAATTGGCTGTATCGGAAACTGGCCCGATGCAGCCAATAATTTGTCTGATAAACGCCTGTGCATGCACGCAGCTGCACTGCAGCACACAGGCAGCGAGGAGCACAGTTTGGCAGCTTGGAGAGCTGCGTGCAGGTGGTAAATCCATTGTGGTGGAAGGTAAGGGAGGAGGGAAGGGGGGGCAGGGCACAGATCAATGCCCCCTGCCATGAGGGAGCAGCGGGACTGGGGCAAGCACTTGTACGGGATGAAGCTGCAACTCCTTTGGGGGGAGGGCAGTTCCCACCGCTGTGCATGCCCTGGGTGGGCATGGGGGGAGGAGAGGCATGTGCCCCCGGATTTGGTGGGACGGGGACGGGGGGGGGTACAAGTGAGGGGGTTGCAACCACCCCAAATTTTGCCGTAGTGCCCCCGCCATAGCCCCCTCCCAGTGCTGCCACAGGGTTCAACCCCCACCTCTCCCCATGCACAGGGAAGAGCTGGGGCTGCACTGGGCAGGTGGAGGTGACGGCGCTGGGAGGGAGAGCTATGGCAAAATTTGGGGTGGCTGCTGCCGCCCCCATAGCCCCCCTGCCAGTGCCACTGCCGCCTGCCCCAAGCCCAGCCCCTGCTGAGAAGAGCCTGGCACGGCCCCAGCCCCAGCCTGCAGCTGCCCTGTACAGATCTAGAGGGCACCCCCCCCTTCCCTCCCAGGGTGCGTGCAGTGGCGTGAGCTGCCCCCCGGACCCCCAGATGAGCAGCAGCTCTGTCCCGTGCCTGCCTTGCCCCATCTGGGCAGTGTCTACCCCAGCCTCATTCCCTCCCTCACTGTGAGGGGTGTTGATCTATACCCCCAATGCCCCTTCCCTCCCCCATCCTCTTCCACCACACCAGACTTACCAAATGCATGCAGCTGTATTGGAAATTGGATTGGCTCCTTAAAAACCGGCTATCGGTATCAGCCCCCAAGATCTCTATCAGTACACCCCTAATTTTCCCGGTTACTTTAGTTACAAGTTAGCCTCGTCTTCAAGAGGCACTGCAACCATCACTTCTCATCTGAGACTAACAGAAATCTCCATGTTTATTGGAGAAGACTATCTGGGCTCTCAGTTGGAGCGTAAGGCAAAATACAATCCCCGTTTTTCTGGCAGATGCGGATACATATCTACTCCTTCCTGCAATATGATTCCTGACTCCATCACCAGAGAATCACACAAAGGACACAGCACGTGACTCCAGCAGAGCAGGCAGTTGGTCCCTCAGGCTAAATGCTTCCTGCACAATGGTTTATGAAAAGGGGACCTCAGCATCACTGAAGGCAGGTTTCTCATAGGGCTGCACAATGTTCATGGACCCTTCTATTTCCCATACAATGTATGCAGTCTTGAATTTTTTTTATGTTTTTCCTTATTTTTCAAGGAGACAAGCTTCTTGTTCTCATAAGGGATCTTGTCACAGAATGCCTGCCAACTTCCTGGAGCTACAAATTTCAATGAATACCAACATCTTTTAGGGCAAGGGCACACTGTGAAAATGGAAGGATACTTGCTTTCTTCCTCCATTAGAGCAGGGGCGGGCAATTATTTCAGGCAGAGGGCCGCTTACCAAGTTGTGGCAAGCTGTCAAGGGCCACATGGGTAGCCCCGCCCCTTGACAGGTGCCCTGCTCCCCTGGTCACCATCTTGGGACCAATGTCTCAATGCCTTGGGACCAATGTCCCAAGGCCAGCACCGGTGGGGCCCAGAGCAGGGCGCAGGCTAGCAGGGGTCTGTGGAGCTGGGCTGGGATGCACAACAGGGAGAGGGGGGAGCTGGCCCAGGCAGCCCCACACAGGCTGCAAGCAGCAGGGCGCCAGCCACAGGGCAGGCGAGGGACTGCTTTTCCCCCACACTCAGCATCAGCTCGTCCCTTGCCCTTCCCCACACCCCCCCCTTACCTGAGCTTCCCACATCGGGGCAGCCATGTGATCCCAGGCCAGAAGCCCCTGCTGGGGCTTCTGTCTGGGGGGCGGGGCCTGCTGTTGAAGGAGCCCTCCAAGGCTTCCCCTGGGTCCTACTGCCCTTGGTTCCTGTCATCTTTGACAGGAACCAAGGACAGATCAATTTTAATTTGCTAAATTTTTTTTAGGGGCCCCGCGGACCAGTTAGAATGGCCGCACGGGCCAGATCCAGCCCGCGGGCCGTATTTTGCCCACCCGTGCACTAGAAATAGAACGCCAAAAGAGATGTACTTGCCACATCAAGACTGTGACTGTCCACACTACTGTACCTATAGATACTGCAGAACCACAGTATTTTAAAGAAGCAAAAGGACTGGGAATTTTAGCTCTTATCTGCTTATGGCATATGCTTACTATTATGATGTATCTACATTACTAGAACTTGACCCAGACAGTCTGAAGGCCAGTCCCTGCTACACTGGGCTAAACAGGTACAAAATGATGCTATGTGCCTGCTTTACCTCATACTAATATTGTTCTCCAACAGCTAAGACAATTGTAGTGAAAATCAAGTGCATGAAAAGGAACCGGCACAGTGCTATTTGATAATAAATAGCAATATTCACAGTGTCCTACAATCCAGACTCACACTGTACAGACTTTACCTGGAGAAATGTCAGTTGACCAATA